ATAAAAATAACAATAACAGAAGAAACAATAACAAAAAAAAAAAAAACAAAAAACAAAAAAAAAACAACAACAACAACAACGGCAATCAATTATCATAGAGACTGAAAACGTTTTTGTAGATGATTCGTAAAATACAATAAACAACTGTAAAAAAAATCACAATTATTGTATTTTTTTTCGCTTTTAATGGAAATAATTCAATGACAACTACCCTTTGAAGGTTTGTCTTGGCTGCTAAGATCGTTCGTTATACGGAACACATATGTATGTATTGGTATAGCCTATTCATGTATGTATTTATTACTAAAATTTTTCTTTTTTGATTTTTACATATTGATATTCCGTGTAACTTTACATTGTTGCATAACCAATAACCAACCAGCCTCCAAGTATTTTAATTGAAATATTTAAATATGTTGAAAACGATCATAAAACATTATATTCTTGCATTCTAGTCAACAAACAATGACACAATATCAGTACTCTTTTAACAGCGTTAAAATATTAATAAATTTGCTTATTAATGGAAGACAGGCGCAAAATGCCAATTGAAATTTACCAGAAAATTTCCGGAAGCAATAAATTTTACTATTACTATTATCAGTCATGAAAAAAAAAACGGAAATGGTGGTGTAACGTAATAAAATATTTTTTTTTAATGATTATAAAATGTAAAAATGAGTTTATTTGAGTATGGATTTAGAAGTAGCTCAAGAGGCTCAAGGCATGTTCTATAAATATCAATTCTTCCAATGCTTCCTTTCTTTGTATAAAGTAAAAAATCAATTATTTTGATATTTCAATTTATTAAATCCAGAAGAAAATTCCAATAATAATACTTTTGATGCTGAACTTGCTGAATTGAATTATGAATATGAATATGAAAATGAAAATCAATTGAATAAAAAAATAAAAATCAATAGTTTCAAACAAAAATGGTTATCTGAATATAAATGGCTTCATTATGACCATATCCATAAATGAATGGTTTGTACAATTTGTATTCAACATAAAAGAAAAAATCAATTTGCCCAAGAAGGTTTGTAATAGAATTATTTCTAATATTTAATATATAGTATTATTAAAATTTTGACATTCGATTAGGTTCAAAAAATATAAATAGAAAATCAGCAATAAAATGTCACAAGGATTCACAAGATCACAAGCAGAAAAGTTAGAACTTTCCAAACTTCCAACAGAAAGATTAGTAGAAAAATTAAATGACAAATTTATTAATGAAAGTGATATACATATTATAAGCATAATGAAGATTGTTTATTACATTGCACAAAACCATATTCCTATGAAAAAACTACCATCTTTAGTTCAACTTGCAAAAGAATTGCATATGTGGGTTGTACAAAAAGTTTTAAGAAAATGCATGTAACTTTATAAATTTGAAGGCAATTGATTTGGAAATTTTTTTAAATAAAAGACAGAGTTCCCATC